GTGGGACGCTGCAAAGGTTGGTTGAGGGGCACATGGAGGATGAGAGTGGGACGCTGCAAAGGTTGGTTGAGGGGCACATGGAGGATGAGAGTGGGACGCTGCAAAGGTTGGTTGAGGGGCACATGGAGGATGAGAGTGGGACGCTGCAAAGGTTGGTTGAGGGGCACATGGAGGACGCACCTTGAAGTAATCCCCGAAGGACCAGTTCCCCAGCATCTCGAAGAAGGTGTGATGGTAGACGTCCCGGCCCACGTCCTCCAGGTCGTTGTGCTTCCCCCCGGCCCGCACACACTTCTGGCTGTTCACCACCCTGCGGTACTGCGCCATCTCGCTCCGCGGGTCCACCGTGCCCAGGAACATCGGCTTAAACTGCAAGAGGAAAGACGTTACCAAGAGTGTTACAGAGCCGCGCCATGGCAACCGACAGGAGAAGAGCCGCACCATGACAACCGACAGGAGATGGTCAGAGACTGGGGACATAGTACAGGAGATGGTCAGAGACTGGGGACATAGTACAGGAGATGGTCAGAGACTGGGGACATAGTACAGGAGAGGGTCAGAGACTGGGGACATAGTACAGGAGAGGGTCAGAGACTGGGGACATAGTACAGGAGATGGTCAGAGACTGGGGACATAGTACAGGAGATAGTCAGAGACTGGGGACATAGTACAGGAGAGGGTCAGAGACTGGCGCTGTCAGCTACCTGGCGAGCACAGCACGTGGAGCTGCGAACACACCCCGAGCCCATCACTACTCCCCACCACCGTTGTTCCAGTTGCTCGGGTCATCTCGGCTGAGGCAGGGTCGCCCCAAAAGGCAGAGCTCCCCCTTCCAGGGGCTCCAGGCGAGACGTAAAGTGGATCCATGAACCGATTTACTGGGAGAGGGGCCACCATTAACTTATCCTGCTCCCCCCTACCAAAACACCATTCCTGGGCCCCTGAGGTGTCATTGTGAGACAAATATGAGGGGCCCCTCCCTAGAAAAAATGGTGTTGGGGTCCCCAATAGAAGATGATGGGGTATGTTCTCCGTCCTGCTGGGATCTAAGGCAGACCCCCAAATCCGAGGATGAGAATGACACCACTCGTATAATAGTACTGATGATAGGAGACCAGTGACCCCGCCATACACACGCTTCCTGCTCTGGGGTCACACATGGGCACCCCACAGAATGGAAATATAGCATACGTGAAAATAAAAGATGATGATGATGATGATAATACTAGCAGTGACCCCGCTATACACACTTCCTGTTCCAGGGTCACCTATGAGCTCAGTGTATTCAGAATAATAACGTAGTATATAAATAAAATACAACAGTAATATAATCATAATGAACATATTATAATGATGATTATTATTATTAATTATATATTGTCTGTAGAGCACCTCCTCTCAATTTGCATTTCTCTGGCTTCCCATTGGCCCTCTCAGATGTCAATCATACGGCGCACACGCCCACCAGCTTCATTCACTATGACAACCCACACACACGCCCCCTGTCACGTGACGTCACCTGGTTCATGCCCGCATTGACGAAGAGCAGGCTGGGGTCCCCCCGGGGCCGCACCCGGGAGGACGGGACGTGCCGGTGTCCGTGGCGCTCCTCGAAGTACCTGAGGAAGGTGCTGCGGATGGCGGCTGAGCTCGGGGGGGCGGAGGAGGAGGACAGACACCGGCGTGACAGCCAGGCTGAGCGGACGCGGAACAGCCGCCAGGGAGCCGCCATCTTGGGGCTGGCAAGTGGAGGCCGCTCCGGGATTTGCGCATGCGCTGAGTTCTGTGTGGCGATTGGAGGGAGTTTGTATTGTAAAACTTTATCTAAACATTGAAGGTGACATTGGAAAATGGTGCAGGACATTGTGATCATCTGACACAGGTCTATGGGCAGTCATGTCTTCTTTTGGCTGTGATATACAGGGAACATGATGCTGAAGTATAATGGGAAATGAAGAGGACCTGTAATCAGGAAGCTGTGTATAAGAAGGCATTCGGACTGGCCCCTGGTATGCCTGCAGATGATCTTACCCATTAC